TCTTGTGTCTAATTTCTAGTTTATCAGGATTTGCGCAATAAATGTACAACACAGGTTTGAGTCAGAGTGTCTGTTAATAAAACAGAGCACCTAATACATATAACTACTGCATGATTTTTTTATCTGTTTCAGATGAATGAGGGGAATTAGTGTAAATCAGTCAGAATCTCAGAGTGCCAATTGTAAAAATAACCCTTCTTCTCTTCCTTTGTTTAACTTAAAGAACTTTGTGAAGAAATCCTTACTCACAATACCATCACTTAATTTATCCAGATACACAAATTAACTCCAGAGCCAACAACAAGCTATAATATTGGACTATTTTTTTGTATTCACTATATAAGAAAAAAACTAAGGTAATACTCTGACCGCGCTTTGAAACATTCAGTGCAGTGCTTTGTCTATTACCACTACAAGGACAATACATTAAAAAAAAAAGAAATGGATGTCAAAATGTTACCAAAATGTCCACCTGTGATATTTTAGCTGCTTTGTTACACGATTCCATATTCATATAAGTATCAAGTGATGGTAAATCACTACAACATTTATCTTTTTACAATAACAGCAAATGATGTTCTTACTACGTATTCTTAGAAAAGGATAAAAAAAGGTTGTGTACTTTTGTCCAACTGGGCAATCTTGCTTTTATAAAATATACTGACTTTTTAATGGTTAATGATTAGAATGCTCTAATACAGTGGTTCTCAAACTTTATGGACCAAGTACCACCCCTAATCCAACCAAAGCATCCAAGTACTGTACCACCTACAAGTCATCATCTCATAGGAACCCCAGAAATTCTCAATGACCAACATGAGTGTGCGTGCACAGACACTCACACATACATATAATAAATATTATAATAATAAACTTTATTTGATATAGCGCCTTTAAAGGTGGCTTCTCAAAGTGTTTTACAAAAAAAAACATTAACAACAACTAATAAAAAAGCACCATTTCAGTGAGAGGGGTGAGCCTGTTTAGTTGAGCAAAGCAGATGTGAATTAATTTTTCGAGCCTTGATACAATTCAAAACAGAGTCTTAACAGATTTTAAATCGTCAGGCATTTTCTTGACGGCAAAGGTCTCGCGGTGGATGTTGTAATGCGTACATTAATTTCTTGAGTAACCTCTCTAATTCGTGCAACTACACCGTTATGTCGGCTTGTCATTGATCTAGCACCGTCTGTACAAACTCAGACGCATTTTATCCAGTCGAGGAGATTCTCTACGATCCGTAGCACGCATTCTTATAGAGTGGTATAGAATTACAAAGTATCTCTTGTGTCCACTGAAGTATTAGCGCGCACTGTATCGTAGTACGTAGGCTGCATATTCGACACGTATTAAAATACAAAATATGAAAACCCGTCACAATTTTTCAGCGCACACGACACAGTTCCAGGGTCATTTGGCGTACCACTTGGCAGCACGCCATGTACCACTGCCGGTACGCGTACCACAGTTTGAGAACCACTGCTCTAATACACAGTTTAAAATTATTATAAGTCTAAAGAGTATACAACTTAAATTCTTAATTGGAAAAAGATTGTCCCTCTGCAGTGACGGGAATTTGAAACTGGGAATTTTCCTGCAACAGATCAAATGCTGTACATGAGACGTTAAGCTTTATTAGCTCCACCTGGCAGTTTTACAAGGTTTTACAACGTGCTTCTGGATACTATTGTCATAATTCAATTTGCATGTTGTTTAATGCGGTATAATGTACCATACCTACCACATTTTAACGCAGCGTACTTCGCACATTTTGAATGGCTTGATCTGTACAAGTTTAGCAGCATAGAAGAAAAATTAATGTAATTTTATGATTTTTTATTGATGTTTTCTTACTACTAGTTAAAATTTAATTTAGAAATCTTAAAACCTAAATGTATGTTCATCTACTTCTATGGCATATCTTTTGACATAATCTTCAAATAAATCCCATGGAGTATATCATAATCTTCCTGACTCTACAGCAGTAATACAATAGACCATGATGTTCAAGGCTGTTGCACTACAACACAGGCACTTCAGCGATGAAAGATGTTTAATACCTTGGGTATCGTATTTAAGTATATCCTTTTTAAAAAAATATGCAGTGGATAATTTCTTAATTGTAATATTTTAAATGTTTTGTGTTGTTGGCAGAAATATTAGAAATTATTCATACAACAGTGTTAGACAGTAAATTACAGTAAAAGAGGTACTGAGAACTGGGGAAAAAAAGTTTTCTACCCAAAAAGTATATTAAGCCTGAACAATTTGATGGTCCTTTAGAGTGACAGCAAATGTGTGTTCCAGAAATCTAAGCTGCTTAAATATAAGAAAACAAACTACAAGACTGATGATTTTCTAGCCATCTGTTTTGAGATTATTCTGTAAATTGTAGAACATCTTGGCACTAAAGTTTGTGAATGTAAAAAATGTAAATAACTTCAATGTTTCATTTAATATCATACTGTACTTCATACGTACCAAAGAACATAACAAGCAGCAGTAGATCTGTGGGCTCATAAATGGAAGATTGTGAAATTCAATCATAAGTGTGTCACTACTGTTATACCCTTGAGCAAATTACCTCATTCAGTTTGCTTAAATGACCAGGTGTATATACGTATACAAATCTAAGTTGCTTTGGATAACAGCGTAGATCAATTAAATAATAATACAGGACTGAGTGACACTTTTCTATGGTGGTTAGAGTTACTGCCTCACAACTTCTGTGTGGAGTTTGTGTGTTATACCTGTAGTAACAAACAAATAAGTTCTGGACCCCGAGATGAAGCTGATAAAGTGAGTATTATTCCATGCAAGGAACAATATAATCAAAGAATTGTTCAAAGTTATAGCTGTTGAGCTCCAGTTTATATAACAAACTTCAACCATTTCTGACGCAAATTGTTACCATGGTAATGGGGGGAAGTCACCTGTGTTTGGACATTCTCAAGACCTTGAACACTTTGAATGGCTGGTTTTATCTTCCCATAGTTAGGGAGTCTCTAACTTGCACTTGAAATCTCTTATCAGTTTACTCTTATCCCTGCTGTAACCCAAAAGTGCTGAAGCATGGTATGTTTTGTACCAAGTGAAGTCTTTGCGCAGAAAGAAATCATTTACCCTTTTTTCACATCTCATATCTTTCTTCATACCCATGGGTGCCTTGGCTATCAATGGGTGTTTTGGTTTCCTACCATTGTCCATATGGTTAATAGTGTCTTCATATTGTCCCAGACAGTTTGTGTGTATAACATACAGTGGACTTGTCCAGGTTGTATCCTACCTTGAGCCCATTGTCTTCCACCTTAGGCTCTGGTTCTGGTTGTTAGTGAAATTGGATAGTAAAAGACAGTTTCTGTGTGTAATTATCTGTCTGACATTCCAGATTCTAATTTGCTTATAAAAGTCTGATGATGGACTGAATTCTTTGGACTAAAACGATTTGCATACTCACTGCTCCTTTCCTTCTCATGTTTATACTTTTTGTATTTATATGTTTTCACACTTAAACTCTAATAAAGTTAACTTTCTGTCGCTTCAGTTCTTGTTGACCATCTTTCAGTGGTCACAGATAAAACAAGTTATGAAAATGTTTCATTAAATTGAGATGTTACAGTAACATGGAAGATACCATTCATAAATATGATTGTTTTTTAATTCTATTATGTCTTTGTGAATGCACATATAAAATAATTTTCTAACAAAAGCAGATTTGAAACAAATGAGAAAAGCAATATTACTTTTGAGGAACAAATGAGGAAAGGTGCTTAGAAAAATGCTTGCTTTATGAATTTCTGTTGTTTTTACTTTATGCCATTTGTCAAATAAATTGTTTTGCTTGCTGGTTTGTTGTGTACTGTAAAATCAATCGATAGAAACCAGTCTTGCACCCTCGTAAAGTTCACCATATCCCTTTACATTACCATGGAGCTATGCAGGACAATAACGTAATGATGTACTAATTACATTTGAGTTAAAGATCTAGGTAATACAAGAGCAAATGCAAAAACATTGTAAGTCACAGAGGTAAATGACACTCATTACTTTTCCATGGGATTGGTAATTGTGGAGTTGTTCATGTAATAAACATCATCTGAAGCCCATCATGCCTGCTTTTGTTTGCTTTCTTTATACAGTATTTACTGTAAGTCCCTGGGTGGGAAACCAATTGTTTAAGATCATGCAGCATTTATATTTGTTTTCTGTAATGACACCTTGAGAAGGGAGAGGCAGATAGTCAAATTGAGTTTATGGCTTCCATCCAGCGTTCCTTCCAGGACTGCTGCATTTGAAACTGATTCCAGAGGAGTAGGGGCCTCATAGGTTCTAACTAATGGTCTGCAGACACAAAACAATAAACACTCTTAATTCTTTATGAAACAAACATTGAAAAAGAAATGAGCTGCATTACTGATAGAACATGTGCTGGCACCTGTGTCTGATAAATATTATTAAAAATCTACCTACCATTCTTGTAGAGAAGTCTTTTCTGACAATTGCTTCCTGGTAGTTTCATTAGGGACCTGAAAACACAAATTATGATTATCCAAAAATGAGTTACACTTCTTATCCTGTTTTTGTTTTCGGTGCAAAGACTGAAATATATAACTCAGTTGATATATACTGTCATAAGTCAATTCAGATGGGAGCAGTAAAGCTGAGATATATGATTATAACCTTTACTGTTCTTTCAATACCTTAGGAAATGCCAGAATATGTTTTTAACTACTTACTGTATTTTAGAAACTGAGAGTGACAGGTTTTACTACTTGAAATTACTTGAAACTAATTGAAACTGATGAATTCTGAAATTATTATTTGGAATTGGGCTGGAACCTTCTCTTGAGGTATTCTCAATGTGAAAACTTCTATACTTTAAAGAAAAAATGTTCAGGGGGAGGTTTGAAAAAAAATAGATCTTTGCTATTTAGCATAATTGAAGAGTTGTTTTTGGGTCTTGTCTATCTCATCTGCATGTTTTCTGTTGTACTTTACAGAAACCAAGCCAGCCTGTATTTTCAATGGTGTTGAATATTATGATGGCGACATGTTCCGTATGGATGCCTGTCGCTTCTGTCGTTGCCAAGGTGGTGTCTCCATCTGCTTCACTGCACAATGTGGCGTGCTGCACTGTGAAAGATCTTATGTTCCTGAGGGGGAGTGCTGCCCTGTCTGTGAAGGTAACACATCCCAACAATATGGGAGTCTTTAACCCTCTTTTATGCCTGTAGCCTTTGTCAAAATCAAAACAAAAGGCAAACCATGTGCTCATTAAAATTCATACTGGGGCCACTATTAAGTACAAAAGAAGATCGAAGAGCCTAAATCAGTAGTAAAGATCCATAGTAATAGTAAAAGTAATTCTAAAATTAAGAATTGAATTATTATTAACTCTCTTGTATTAAAGAATTAATACAAATTACAGTATTTATTGTACTTCAGTTTTTAGTTAAAGTCTCAAGATTTTAGGACAGCTGGCATAGAGAAGTCCAGGTTTTGAAGAAATCTGAACAGCCTTTCTTTAATACAGTAAATGACAAAATAAATGCAAACATTTTGATGTAGCCACTAGTTACAAATCAGAGATCCCCAATTATTAATAAGGTGGATTCACTTGGGGGTACAATCATAAACAACTGTTTTTTTGTACTTTACAAGTTTACAATTAAAACTTTTTGTTTAATGTGTAACTTCAGGAAGAATCAAATAAATGTTGATATGGAAGTATTTTTACCTTGCCCAAGTGTGTGCTTAGTAGTAGTAATAATAATAATAATAATAACACATTTGATTTTATATAGCACCTTTAAAGGTGGCTTCTCAAAGCGCTTTAGAGAATGACAACAACAATAACTAAAAAGAATACACAAGATAAAAACACAATTACAGTATACAGAGGAGACCGTGGATTGTGATACTAAGAAAAGCAGAGGGGTGAAGAATGGAACAAGTTAAGTAAAGGCTCTTCTAAAGAAGTAGGTTTTGAGTCTGGATTTGAAGGAGTTTAGAGAAGGTGACTCTCTGATATCCTTGGGCAGAGAGTTCCAGAGCTTGAGGGCACAACAGGAGAAGGCCCTGTCACCCATACAATGTAGATGGGCTTAGGGGACAGTAAGGAGACCAGAATTAGAAGAGTGAAGGTTGCGAGGTGGGGAATAGGACGATACTATTTCAGACAGGTACTGAGGTGCCAAGCCATGCAGAGCCTTGTAGGTGAGCATGAGGATTTTAATGTCCAAATGGAATTTGACAAGAAGCCAGTGCAAGGACTCCAGGATAGGAGTAATGTGATCACTTGCACTAGACCTGGTCAGGATTCTGGCTGCTGAATTTTGGATAAACTGCAAAATTTACAGTGACAGCTATAAGTGAGGTAAGACTTGAACTATTTGAGAGCATTGTCAGAAACTCCAAACACAGTCTCAAGACGAGAAGGTAATATGTCATGGTCAACAGTGTCAAAAGCAGCACTGAGATCAAGAAGGATGAGTATAGAAAGAGAACCAGAATCAGAAGCTATTAGAAGATCGTTAGTGACTTTGATCAGGGCAGTTTCTGTGCTGTGAAGTTGACGGAAGCCTGATTGGAGGGGTTCGAAAAGGTAAGTAGAGTGTCCAAATTAGGACATCCTCCTCCCTTTTTAAAGCTCCCTGCTCTTAAACTCTCTCCTCTCTACTATTCTACAAAATTCCACACACTCTGCTGCCTACTCATAAACTTCCTCCTCTTAAATTTCCTTTTATAACCTACAAAACATCATGTGCTCTGCTCCCTGCTACAAATCTCCCTTCTGCATCCCCCTACAATTCTGCCATAATTTCTAAATTGCAACAAATTCTATGTAGTTAAACTCTTGCTTAAAAGGGATTTTTTTTTTAAACAAGAAGGCAAACATGTTTCTACAATATGCAGTATAACCTTTACAAATGAGAAGCGCACATTCGGTCCATTGAGACTCTCATCCAGCCATTTCATGAACAAAGCCTGGGTATCAGTTTCAACAACATGGCTGGAGAACATGGCACATATTGTATGGGAGGAACAAGTTTCAGAGCACAGAACAGAGTATATGAAGTTTTGTTGGATGGGGGAGAGGAGGAGGATGTCCTAATATGGATGCTGTAGTTTAGAATTTGGCAATGTCACTCTAGTCAACATTACACCAAAATGCAACAACTTAGCAAATAATAATAATGACAGAATGATATTGACCAAAAAAGATGCAATTAATACAAATTGCTTTAGTTGAGTGGAAAAAAAATAAACTAACTACTAAAACATTATGGGCTTCAGAAATGAAGAGAGAGAAAGAAAAATTAACAGTGAAAAACAAACCAGTGGACAGCAAGTAAGGGGGAACTAGATGTTGCTCATTTAAAACTGGGAATAAGAGTAATTGTATTTTACAAAAGAGCTGTGAGAATCTAAAACAACCTACCCAGATATATTGTCAAGTTGAATACCATCACTACTTTCAAGAAATGACTGGATGAGATTCTCAGATCAAATAGCTATTAGCAACCAAACAAGCTATATGAGCTAGATGACCTCTTTTCCCCAAATTTTAAGTTTTTATAATAGGATTGCAGCAAGTGTTAAAAAAGATTTAAGAGTAGAGGAGGTCTGAATGGACAAGCAGAAACAATAATACACTACCTAGAGTAAGTGTGGTGTGTTTGCTACATAAGGGTGTCTTGTCTAAATTGCCATTTTTTAATGTATCAGTATTTCGGAAAAAAAACATACATTTGCATCACAACTTTCCATAATATGTTGTGGATTCTACAAGAGACATGAATACTGGCCACTGAAAATGAAATAGAAGTTGTACTTCAGAGATCTTTTTGCTCTCATACGTACAGCCTAGGAAGCTTACATGCTTGGACCATGATCGCTTGCCTTGGGAACTAATGATACAGTAAAGTTTTTGCCCTTCAAAAAGTCTGTTTTATACAAAACAAGTCTTATACTAGTATTGTCTTAATCCTTCAGAGCCCATCTACCCTGTGTTGAACTTCGCCGGTTGCTACGTTAATGGACAAATTGTAGCACATGGTGACCACTGGAGGGAAGACGATTGTACGTTCTGCCAGTGTATCAGTGGAGATGCCCATTGCATGGCTGCAGCCTGTGGGCACAACTGTCTGAACCCTGTTCAAGTGCCAGGGGAATGCTGCCCAGTGTGTGAAGGTAAGAAACTAAAGGCAGTTGTGCCTGAATTCTTTGTTGTGGTTTTCCCAGGAATTTACCTTCACTGACAGCCTTTAAGTATTTTATCAGACCAGCTACACAGGGGGAAACATACTTGAACCATATCTGTCAAAAGGAAGCCACTTCACAGTCCCCTTTCATTAATATAAGTGATTCCATCTTAGAAAATGATGAAAATTTACATTTACAATTATTATACATATACATTTATGGAATGTGAAAAAAATGGGTTTGTGATGGTTTTCAGGTTAAATGTAAGCATGTATTTTTGTGCGATATATAAATTTGAAGGACTCTAAAAATGTTTTGCTGGTTTTTCTCTGTTAAATATATTTGAGGTGTTCAATATCTGGTGTACATAATTTGTATAACTTTAGAGGCCTGCAGAGGCCTGTGCAACTCATGAAATGAGAGGGAATAAGCACTGATTGCAAAAGTTTTTTTTCCTGTGATCTCAAAATTCTTTAGTGGCTTTATTGGATAAGATTGACTTTGGGACAAAAACCCCCTCATCTGCCAGTATATATTATTTTGATATGAGCATTCTTTGTGTGCATGTTTCCAGTAAAAGCATGTTGTTTGACAGTAACAACAAACTGTCATCATGAATTGGAGAATGCCTTAAATATATCAACTGGATTTCTAAATTTATTTTGATCCTGGGGAATTTTAAATATGGATGTGAAACTTACATAAAATGATAAGTACATTGTAAAAATGCACTGTTTGCACTGTTCATGAGAACTTAAAACTTCTTAAAACTTCTCATGCTAAAAGAAAGCTGGAAAGTGAACTGGATGATTTTTTTTTGTTTAGTACAGATGCAGCCATTCAAAATGCGCGGGCAATACTGCATTATTTTCCGGTACGCTGTACGCAGTCTACCGCGAGTTAATGGTAAATACCGCAAGTTACCGGTAAATACCGCTAGCAAAATAATAGTATCTGGAATTTCCGCAAGGTGGAGCTAATAAATCTCAACCTCTCATGTTTGAGCTGTCGCCATCAAAGTCATTAACGAAGATATTACTAATAGTATTAATAATGAATGACCTTGGACAAGCTGTAAGTGTAAACTCA